TAAAATTCAGTGAAAGATTCAGCTTTCTATCTATAATAGAAAAAAAGTTATGACCTTTCAAAGTTTTCCAAAATCTAAATCATAAGGTTACTAGAACGATGAAATTTCAAATTTCTTTTTGTCGAGATTTTGTGTCCTAATGGTCCCTCGTGATACCCTGAACTCCATAAACTAAATTATTCTCAGATTTGAAGCCGAAATCTATGAAAAAAGGCACTCAGAAAAATTGAAAAATTTATAAATCACCCCAAATTGCTTAACACGATTTTATCTCAGGAACTATAAGTGCAAATGAGCTGAATTTTTCAGGGATTGTAGTCCTTTGAAAATGATGACATTCAGTGAAAGATTCAGCTTTCTATCTATAATAGAAAAAAAGTTATGACCTTTCAAAGTTTTCCAAAATCTAAATCATAAGGTAGGTACCTTCTTACTAAAACGATGAAATTTCAATTTTTTTTTTGTCGAGATTTTGTGTCCTAATGGTCCCTCGTGATACCCTGAACTCCATAAACTAAATTATTCTCAGATTTGAAGCCGAAATCTATGAAAAAAGGCACTCAGAAAAATTGAAAAATTGATAAATCACCCCAAATTGCTTAACACGATTTTATCTCAGGAACTATGAGTGCAAATGAGCTGAATTTTTCAGGAATTGTAGTCCTTTGGAAATGATGACATTCAGTGGAAAATTCAGCTTTCTATCTATAATAGAAAAAAAGTTATGACCTTTCAAAGTTTTTCAAAATCTAAATCATAAGGTAGGTAGGTACCTTCTTACTAAAATGATGAAATTTCAAAATTTTTTTTGCCGAGATTTTGTATCCTAATGGTGAATCAACATACCCCAAACTCCACAGACTGAATTATTCTCAGATTTGAAGCCGAAATCTATGAAAAAAGGCACTCAGAAAAATTGAAAAATTTATAAATCACCCCAAATTGCTTAACACGATTTTATCTCAGGAACTATGAGTGCAAATGAGCTGAATTTTTCAGGAATTGTAGTCCTTTGGAAATGATGACATTCAGTGGAAAATTCAGCTTTCTATCTATAATAGAAAAAAAGTTATGACCTTTCAAAGTTTTTCAAAATCTAAATCATAAGGTAGGTACCTTCTTACTAAAATGATGAAATTTGAAATTTCTTTCTGTCGAGATTTTGTGTCCTAATGGTCCCTCGTGATACCTCAAACTCCATAGACTAAATTATTCTCAGATTTGAAGCTGAAATCTATGAAAAAAGGCACTCAGAAAAATTGAAAAATTTATAAATCACCCCAAATTGCTTAACACGATTTTATCTCAGGAACTATGAGTGCAAATGAGCTGAATTTTTCAGGGATTGTAGTCCTTTGAAAATGATGACATTCAGTGATAGATTCAGCTTTCTATCTATAATAGAAAAAAAGTTATGACCTTTCAAAGTTTTCCAAAATCTAAATCATAAGGAAGGTACCTTCTTACTAAAACGATGAAATTTCAATTTTTTTTTTGTCGAGATTTTGTGTCCTAATGGTCCCTCGTGATACCCTAAACTCCATAAACTAAATTATTCTCAGATTTGAAGCCGAAATCTATGAAAAAAGGCACTCAGAAAAATTGAAAAATTCATAAATCACCCCAAATTGCTTAACACGATTTTATCTCAGGAACTATGAGTGCAAATGAGCTGAATTTTTCAGGAATTGTAGTCCTTTGGAAATGATGACATTCAGTGGAAAATTCAGCTTTCTATCTATAATAGAAAAAAAGTTATGACCTTTCAAAGTTTTTCAAAATCTAAATCATAAGGTAGGTACCTTCTTACTAAAATGATGAAATTTGAAATTTCTTTTTGTCGAGATTTTGTGTCCTAATGGTCCCTCGTGATACCTCAAACTCCATAGACTAAATTATTCTCAGATTTGAAGCCGAAATCTATGAAAAAAGGCACTCAGAAAAATTGAAAAATTCATAAATCACCCCAAATTGCTTAACACGATTTTATCTCAGGAACTATAAGTGCAAATGAGCTGAATTTTTCAGGGATTGTAGTCCTTTGAAAATGATGACATTCAGTGAAAAATTCAGCTTGCTATCTATAATAGAAAAAAAGTTATGACCTTTCAAAGTTTTCCAAAATCTAAATCATAAGGTAGGTACCTTCTTACTAAAACGATGAAATTTCAATTTTTTTTTTGTCGAGATTTTGTGTCCTAATGGTCCCTCGTGATACCCTGAACTCCATAAACTAAATTATTCTTAGATTTGAAGCCGAAATCTATGAAAAAAGGCACTCAGAAAAATTGAAAAATTCATAAATCACCCCAAATTGCTTAACACGATTTTATCTCAGGAACTGTGAGTGCAAATGAGCTGAATTTTTCAGGGATTGTAGTCCTTTGAAAATGATGACATTCAGTGAAAGATTCAGCTTTCTATCTATAATAGAAAAAAAGTTATGACCTTTCAAAGTTTTTCAAAATCTAAATCATAAGGTAGGTACCTTCTTACTAAAATGATGAAATTTGAAATTTCTTTTTGTCGAGATTTTGTGTCCTAATGGTCCCTCGTGATACCTCAAACTCCATAGACTAAATTATTCTCAGATTTGAAGCTGAAATCTATGAAAAAAGGCACTCAGAAAAATTGAAAAATTTATAAATCACCCCAAATTGCTTAACACGATTTTATCTCAGGAACTATGAGTGCAAATGAGCTGAATTTTTCAGGGATTGTAGTCCTTTGAAAATGATGACATTCAGTGATAGATTCAGCTTTCTATCTATAATAGAAAAAAAGTTATGACCTTTCAAAGTTTTCCAAAATCTAAATCATAAGGAAGGTACCTTCTTACTAAAACGATGAAATTTCAATTTTTTTTTTGTCGAGATTTTGTGTCCTAATGGTCCCTCGTGATACCCTAAACTCCATAAACTAAATTATTCTCAGATTTGAAGCCGAAATCTATGAAAAAAGGCACTCAGAAAAATTGAAAAATTCATAAATCACCCCAAATTGCTTAACACGATTTTATCTCAGGAACTATGAGTGCAAATGAGCTGAATTTTTCAGGAATTGTAGTCCTTTGGAAATGATGACATTCAGTGGAAAATTCAGCTTTCTATCTATAATAGAAAAAAAGTTATGACCTTTCAAAGTTTTTCAAAATCTAAATCATAAGGTAGGTACCTTCTTACTAAAATGATGAAATTTGAAATTTCTTTTTGTCGAGATTTTGTGTCCTAATGGTCCCTCGTGATACCTCAAACTCCATAGACTAAATTATTCTCAGATTTGAAGCTGAAATCTATGAAAAAAGGCACTCAGAAAAATTGAAAAATTTATAAATCACCCCAAATTGCTTAACACGATTTTATCTCAGGAACTATGAGTGCAAATGAGCTGAATTTTTCAGGGATTGTAGTCCTTTGAAAATGATGACATTCAGTGAAAGATTCAGCTTTCTATCTGTAATAGAAAAAAAGTTATGACCTTTCAAAGTTTTTCAAAATCTAAATCATAAGGCACTCAGAAAAATTGAAAAATTGATAATTCACCACAATTGCTTAAGACGATGGTCTAGAAAAGTTTCGAAAATACCTCTGCCTGGCTTTAATCTACCCCAATTTGCAATAAATTGTATTCCCGTCTTGTATAATGAGGGTAGTTCAATAACGGACTTCTTTTGTGCTGTCGGCGATCTATTGCAAGAGGGGTAAATAGCCCATCCTTCTTTTATACTACCTGGGAGTCTCTAGAATAATTTTTTAGCTTAAGTTTTAGGAAATTTGACTTTTGGAATTTTTGTTTTGTAGACCTCGACCTCGTATCCACGAATATAAAATGCTATTTTAGAATCTTGTAAACTTTATAAAATACATACTGAATTCTGGAATTAGGTGCAAAGAAAATGAATCACCTTATTACTACAAAAAATCAGAATCAGAGAGAATCAAGCATGATATTTAGAAGTTTAATGCGAAATTATTCGATTCCAGTTTCCCCCGGAAATTATTCGATAACGTCATTAACTTCGCTAGCCAGTAGTAGGTAGGCAAAATAAAACGGCATAACGTTAGCATCTTTGAGTCGTAGAATATTTGAATTATTTCTTTTTTTATCCTTAAAGGACGCAAGTCAGGATGTTAGTGAAAAAATTGAGATAATTATATTTCTTTTTACTTGAATCAGAGTTGCATCTACTCTTGGCTCAATCTAATTAAAGAAATTGAAAATGTCAGAAAAATAAATGCTGGAAAAATTCAAAATTGACAACCGCGTATGCGTGCAATCAGCATCCGACAGCTTTTCTTGCCCCACTATTCGCGCTTGCGAGTTTCATATTTGTTTACCAAAAGCGAATTCTCCCGTTTCGGCGGAAGGACCCTTGAATCCTGCTCGAAAATCGATTCGATAAGGTATCCGAGGCCGGTCTCATAAATTAAACCAATTTCTTTAGTTTTGCTCAGCTACAAAGCGACTCTAATGAGCGACTACTCGGGACACTCAGCTGTCCGACCAGGTAAAAAAAATCTTTGAAAAATCTATAGGTGACGTCGATTGTACTGCAATTGGAATGGAATTGTACTAGAAATTATCGGTGAGTATCAATTTTAGACAAAAAATTTGTAGTTAGGTACTTTCCAAACCAGCTCTTATACCTATTGTATTTTTATCGATTGCCACCTGCAACTTTTCAATTATTGTCAATTTTTTTTTTTCGGCCGTCATCAATTCGAATCCATTCCATCACCCATCCAAAAAAAAACCACCCCTGAAAAATACCATGTACAAATCTCTCACGTCGACACCATCACCCATTGCCGTGAAACGTCTTTCCTTTTTCAAAAAATGGGGGAAACGAGTGTAGCAGCGCCCAAAAAAACGAATGTCCCGCGGAACCACCACAAAAGTACGTAGTGGCGAAATCGTGTTGCAAGTCGATATTCGAAACGTGGAAACCGGCGGTACCGGATCTATCGGCGCCGCCTTTGCCAACGATACACGAAGGCCTGATGGAGCCCTACAAGCAGAAATCCTGCAAAGTGGGCATGAAATTTCGGGAACCGAGTAGATGCGTGAGTGAGGCTATGGCGAAAGAATGTCTGAAAAAGAACCATCCCAAGTGGTTAATGAAGTGTCCTAAGCCAAAGGTTGATGATCTTGGACCTTTGCCAGTGATGAAAGAAGCCGTGTTGAGGTGCAAAGAAACTAAAGGAAAGTTGAAGACGACTAGGAAGAAATACGACAAGGCACAGATAGTTTGCGACGCTGAAGTACCGAGGGGTGATTGGAATCCTGATAGTAAATTTTAAATAAGTGAAAAATTCAAATTTTATTGTCATCACATTTTTATTGGCGAAATAAATTTCAAACAGGAAACATGACACTATGATATATCAATGAATTTTTTTTTTCTGAACTGTAAAATTTGATTAATTTTGGAGTAAAAATTAATGGTTGCTACTTTATTTCTGGTTTTATGACGTCAGTAAGAAGTCATAAACAACTAATCTTTGATCTCTCTGAAGATCAACCACATGACTTGGAAGTATAGCTTCATCTTCATTGAATGATAGTCTGTCAAACATTTGATTTATTTGCAGTCTTAGCTTCAGGTATAAAGTAGCTTCATTTCTCTTCCAGTCCAGTTTCGCTGGTTTTCTACCAAAAACATTGATTGTGTTTCTCTGCCATTTCGTCCGAAAATAGATGGAGTCGTTCTCGTTTTTATCATATCCACAGTAAACTCATCAGTTCCATATTTGGGACTCAAAATTCCTCCCCTGATTAATATGAAGTTCCATTAACGTAACTGCTTCTTGATTGATGATTCACTTTGGAAAATAGTCCATAACAATACCAAGGTAATTAGTATTATCGACTCTGTTGTAGGAAAAAGACTAGCGACTTAATCTTACCGTGGAAACCAGAAAAGTACTAATTTATTTATCTTCGTATCTTGAGTTCTTTTTTGGAAGCTCAGAGGTCGCATTTGTGCAGTTCGCGTAGTATTCTGTCCATTGTCCTGGCACTATAATTTCACACTTACCATTTTAGTTATCAAGTCATCATTTATTTCGCAGGCAGAATTAATCGATTAAAGACTGACAAAAACTTGAATTTCTTGCTATCTGGGTTGTTGTTCGTTTGTCAGCATTTTCTTCTTTGGTGATGTTTTCGTCAGTATTAGTTTTGGTATCGTGATGGGCTATCAAGATTTGTTTCTATGTGATGTTTTAGTTGGAAGTTGCAACTTTGTTTCTCTAAAAATCGCGTAATCTTATCTTGGGTTTCAAAAATTAGCACTCATTGCCAGATAAAATGTATTTTTCTTGCTAAATAAGCGAAGTTGAGAGAGAAAAGCTAGTATTCCATGTTTCATCAAGTACTGGCTTGCAGAGTCTGTTTTTCAGCTCTAAAAGCTGATCATTCTGATATCGAATTTTTGACAACATTGATAAGTAAATGGTAGCTTTGGGGCAGATAATACATATATCGAAATCAAAACAATACCTATTTTTAATATAATAACACATACCCAGCTTCTAGAAACCACTTGATGAATGTTCCAGAAATCCAGACAAACATGAAAAAAGTGAAAAAGAAAATGACACCATTTTTCCTGGAAAACCATAGATCAAGTGAGTACCAGACCAACCTTGGTTTTCTTCCCAAAAGATCAACTTTAATAAATTCGGCAAAATGTTTGGAGTAGTACTAGTACACATCAGACTAGTAGTTTATTATTTGAGTCTTTACTATTTAATAAGGACTTTCACGTTACTGTTATTTCATCTTGAACATTCCAGTTATTTGAATCTTTCTAGCAAACAGTTCTTACCGGATTATCATGGTATCTTCTATCTTGTCAGGGTAGGTATGGAGTTTTGAGTAAAGTTCTTCAAAATTTTGCATTAGGATCCTACCCTATTTTTATGTGAGCGATTTGGAAGCTACCATAAAAACACAAAAGGAACCCTGGAACTTATACCTTCACGTCGCACTTTTTCCCTCACTGTCTCTCCAATTTTTCTCCTCTTGCTTTTTCTACCTATTCTTCTCCCCTTCTTTTTTTCGAGTTTTTTTTTTACCCAGATTCTTTCCACTTTTTTGTTTCTCTTAACGCTTTCTCCCTTGAATTTTCTCATTTTCAAAGAAGACACCAGTGCAGATAATCGTCTGGAATGATGAAGGAGAAACCTGGAATGAAAAACTATAAGAAAACAACAAAGCTGACATCATGAAACTAATTGATAAACAAAGAACCAGTTCGAAACCAGTGAAAATCAGTGAAATTTACACACACGCACGCTGGTTTTGTGCTGGTTTCAGCTGGTTTTGTGCTAATTTAGCTGGTTTTGTGCTGGTTATTAGCTGATTTTAGCTGGTTTTGAGCTGGTTTCGAAAAAGTTCCCAGGCTCAAGGGACCCTATACCTATAGTCTGTCGATTTTATTCTGATACTTCAAAGAAATGTGAGCTGGTGGCTCCCTATATTAGAACGCCAATGGTTACCTGACGTCAGACCTGTTTTTGCCATATGAAACACTTGCTCGCTCCTCTTACGAAAAGTATCACATTAAAAATGACGGACTTTACTTAAACGCTGTGTCTACACTAGCAGTGTGTGTTCCTAGCTCCAAAACAATGTGGTGCATCAGACACACAACACACAACGGAAGTTTCGAGTTTTGGGAACAAACAACAACGTGTCCACACTGACAAAAATAAATTTGATAAACAAAAAATGTTTCTATATTTCCTTTGATCTTTGACCCTAAATATGGAAACGAGCAACTTATAGGAACCTTTGTTGCTGCAACCGTAAACAATAAGGTCAATAAGGGACTTGAATAAACTTTTGAAAACATGCAGAAAAATGTTCAAGGAACAATCAAAATAAACACAATGTTCCTTCGGTGTAGACGCAGCTTAATATTAATTTGTAAGTAAAATCTTAATGGAATGGAACATAATAGATCTGTTTCTGCAGTAATCATAAACCAGTCAGAGTGAATTTCATTGGTTGAAACTAATTTTCTGACTGTTTTCAACCAATGAAATTCGCTCTGACTGGTTTGTGATTTCTGCAGAAACAGACTTGATATTTCATATTTCGTTTGAAAGGTACAACTGAAGAGCGTTGCATATACCTACATGAAAATATATTTTTTTAAAAGCAACCACGACTTATTGAGGCAGTGTACCAAACCTGGAACATCTTTTACCATAGTTACTTTCAACATTACTCTAAAGTAATAAAAACTTTGAAGTGATATACGATAAAAGGAAATTATGGATTATCTCTTTTTTTTTACAAATTTTAATTTTTAGACAAATTTTACTATGAGAGAGTAACAAGAACTAAAAACTGGCAGCTGTATGCAACATTCTCTTTTAACTTAAAAGTGCTTTTTAAAACTGGTACCTTTAAAAATTTGTATGGCTTAGAATACACATTTTTAAAAGTGACCAGTTTTGAAAGCGCTTTTAAGCTAAAAGAGGATGTTGCATACAGCTGTGGGACTTTATCTTTGCGATTTTAAGACTTTTTTACATAGTAACAGTTAGAGATGGCCCTAAGAATATTCTCCAAAGAACTTTTATTGAGAACAGAGAATTTATCGAGAATATTCTTTGGCCTTAAATTCTCGAGAATTTATGATTTTTTTAGGTTCAAGAATTTATGAGATTATACGGTAATTTTCGAGAATTTATGGGAAGTTAGCTGTAATTTTTGAATTTATCAGTTCATTGTGAAAAACGAAAAGCAGAGCCGGAGTCTCATGCATCCGTCATATTCCGAGGTGCGATATCCGAAAAACCTTCTATTCTGACATATCAAATTTTTGTGCCACTGAGTACTGAGTGTATTTCCAGCTCTTTCTCTCAGCCTCTTAAAGAAACAGAGAGAAACACAAACACATTTTTTTTGCACGATTTCTACCAACTGAAAACGCCATAAGTTATTACATTGTCCCCGTACTGTGCAGAGTGTGTGTAAAGAAATATTTAATTTAATATTATTGAAATTGAAAATTGAAATATTAGTTTTGAGGAAATTCCTTCGAAAATTAAACCTAAAGGGTTGATATGAAAATATTTGAGACAAAATAGGGACAACAAATTTTAATGTAAATTTTCTGATTTTGTGTATCAAAAAAATGCGAAAAGCCTCAAATGATGTTAAGAAGCTATATTCTTTGAAATTCTCTAAAATTCTCCAATGTTCCTGAATACTCTCCGAGAAAATTCTCTCCAAATAAATTTTTTTAGACTTAGGACCGGTTTCTCAATAGCGAGTCACCTCGGGGTTGGTTTTAACTCCAGGGTAAGCGTATCTAGTTGTTATATTTACCCCGCAGTTATGCTTAACCCGGGAGTATCTCGCTATTGAGAAACCGGCTCTTAAGAGTATAAATCAGAGTGAAGCACTGATCGAGTAAAGACGAAGGGCCACACATGAGGAAGACACGAATCTTCAGTGACGTCTCAAAGGTATTGGCGTTTGACAATAATAGGCAATCCTCCTTGCTTATAATCCTTGATTTGTGTCTGTCATTGTCATTGGCTATCTTTCTCTGTCTCTCTACGTTATATGATATCTCTCTTTTCTCTCGTTTATCGTGTAGCGAAATTTGCCAAAACGTGACGTTATGTGACGCGTCTTTCAAACCAATCTCCATTTTCGTCCAAATATCAGACCGCCGCCATAGGGCCGGTTTTTCAATAGCAAGTCACTTCTGGGTTCAGTATAACTCCAGGATCAACATTGCAACTGGACACGTTTACCCTGGAGTTGAACCAACCCGGAACTGACTCGCAATTGAGAAATCGATCCACTTCAATAAAAAAAAAAATATATCTACAGTGACCGCCAAAAAGTTTGCAAGAAATGGGAAAATATTTTATTATTGAGATATCAAAAAGAATGTTACGTGGGATCAATTCAGCATACCTATCAACAAAAAAAAAAACACTGTGACAGATGTCATGTGACCACAGTTATGGCGGGAAATTTAAAAAATTCGCTTTAAATATGTGAAAATTGGGGTTAGATGACCAGAAATCGAAAAATTGTAAAGGGAAAAGTGGTTCAGGATTCGATTTTACGTCTATGTGTCAATTTTTGAAAAGGTACAAGGATTTTTAATAATTATCAATTTTTTGGTCTGTTTTCTGGTAATTTGAAGAATATCAAAAACTTTTCGCAAAAATATTGGTTTGATGGAATTTAGAAAAGAGGTATTGGATCATTTAGAAAGATTTTATACTAATTCCAAATTTGTTATTTCAAATTTCTGTTTTCTGTA